GGCAATATGCTGACTCTCTGTAAACCGCTTAGAGAGGCCTGAAAGGCCTATGAAGCGGTATATAAGTCTACTGCTATTGCTATTGCTATTACATTTAGATTCTTAAATAGTTGTCCAAACTGACAGGATGATTGAATTATTTACTGTTAAATTACTAAAAATATCAATACTTAAGTGTATTTTCAGATCATTCTGCAGTCATTTTCAGGTCATTCTGAAATAATTTTAGCTGGATTGTGCTATCTGTTTCTTTCATTAAAAGCAGCGCTAAAGAACAACAGAAGCAGGGTTATTTTTGTTTCTATTATCTTTAATAGAATTATTATCTATACTTTCAATTCCCTGATTGCTAAATAATAGTTTTAAAAGTATCCATTAGAAATCAGCAAAATCCATATGTGGACCATGGGCACTGATTGTAGCAAACACCTGTTGGAAATCAAGTTTAGAGTAGAAACTTTGAAGAGATTTCATCATCATTTAGCAGCTCAGATTGTTACCCTTAAATCATTTCAATTTTCCACAGAGCTTCTGCTGCCACCATTTTTTTTAAAAAAGTAGCAACTTCATGCTGAACATAAGAAAGGCAAAATTATCTTTGAATCCTTACCACCATAATGCTGCCTCTTTTTAAAAAAAAAATTAATCAAAGATAATGTGTGCATACAGAATTGTGGTCATTTGCAAATTCATATTTTTAATTATCTGCTTTAAAGTTAATACCCTTTTCTTACTGTTTACCTTCTCAGAACGGGTCCCCAAAAATTCATGAATAATGTATGCCTTTTAAAAAAAATTGCTACATAAAATCAGCCGCAGTACCGTTCTCACTGGTGGCCTTCTGAAGTTGTGCTTGTACACCAGTTATTTTTTGTTTCTGCAAGCGTGTCAATGAACCTCATATTGTCTCTTCTCATCTTCAGTATAATATACAAACCGATCAGTACAGAAGTTGTGATAATGTCTCTGCCAAGTCATCAGATAGTGATGTCAGCGATGTGTCAGCTATTTCCCGCACCAGCAGTGCCTCTCGCCTCAGCAGCACAAGTTTTATGTCAGAGCAATCCGAGCATCCAAGAGGCAGAATCAGGTGAGCTTTAAATGTGTTCATATGTCAATTAAAAACCTTATGTCTTTTGCCATACAATATACAGTGGTTTGCTGAATGAAACAAAATCCTATATAGAGCTGCGATGGCATAGTGGTAAGAGTGCAGTACTGCAGGCTACTTCTGCTGATCGCCGGCAGCCAGCAGTTTTGCAGATCAAATTTCACCAGGCTCAAGGTTGACTCACCTTCCTTCCTTTCGAAGTCGGTAAAATGAAGGCCAAGATTGTTGGGGGAAATATGCTTGTTGTAGCCTCGTAAGTCCTCGGACTTACGAATGACAGCTCGGCGGCAGCCAGGCGCATCTTAGCCAATCAGACGCGCCTGCCGGTTGCCGGGC